GTTCAATTATCTTTGTAGAGATCTAGTATAGAGCTGTATGAATGGGTCAATGAGGCACAGATTGTTGTAAAGAGCTCTGAGTATCTTGATCAGATAGAAAGGAGCTGTATAAGTACAGTCCATGTACTATTTACCATTTACATTAAGATTATAAAATATCTGACACCGTCATTCTTCAAGGAATCCCCATTTCAAACACAACCAGTCTTTCCTGGGACCGTCTAAAAGTTTATACTTCACAGACTTGACTCCTTCTCCAACTTCTCTCATTTTTAACCTTTGAGTATTTTTTTATTTATTTAACTTCATCTCTCCCATTTACACTTTGACAAGAACGTTTTTGTTTTTCAGTTAAACCTGATTAAACTTTTATGCTTTAACACACCTCTGTAACCCCAAATACTAATAGAATAAAAAGCTAAATAAATATTATTATTATTATTTACCTTCATTTAACCAGGCTAATCCCGTATTGAAACTAGAAAAGTTCCTGGAGAAACTTGGAAGGGCTGCCGTTTGATGCATGATTTTTTTTTCTTTGCATCTTAAATCCACATAACTCGGGGGACATTAACCCAAAATACTAAAAAACAAACCAAATAGATGTAAAAAATAACACACAACGTACAGGTGGAGTTATCGCTGGAGTCCAACAGTCACAGTCAGTAAGCTTCAGACCTTCACACGGGCTTTGCTATGTACAGTATGTAAATTTGTCACACGTGAGGAAAAAAACTATGTTTGATTTTTTCTGAGATTGTTCTTCCAGCACTTTTCAAATAGTTACAGTGCTGCATCAAAGTCATTCTAGTCATTTTATCTACTGCATGTACAATATTTCTGAGACATCAAAACAAAGGTTAAATCATGGACGAGTTTCTTTAAGGGGCAAACGTTTCATCTTTAATGTGAAAGACTTCATCAGTTTCAGGCTGTTTCTGTGAGTAACAAGTTGGCCTTCTGGCCTAAAACATCTGATTGTTGTTCATGATCATTGATTGTTTTGGACAGATGGTCCAGTAAGAGACAAAATGACTGATGTGTTGTTTATGGTGGCACAGGTGTTCAGATTTGTCCGACACTGCAGGTAATTGCATGAGGGGCGTGGTCACATAATACTTAGTTGATCTGGGTAAATGGACCAGGTGCTGGGTTAGTAGGGTTTCTTGCAAACTTTTCTGTTGACCGTCACTGGAGAATCGTCAGTTTAGAAACGTCACAAACTCTACTCAGCCGGCAGCGACTTGTGGATCAAAGTTGCTGCAGTCCCTTTTTGCATGTGTTAAAAGCTTCTGAGGTTCCAACAGGAGGTTGGCTTCAAACAGCAGTGAAGGATACTTATGGGATTTGGCAGGCCGCAGACTGATGAAAGATTAAACATTTCTCCCTTAAAGAAACGTCCTGATGAAATATTTAACCTTTTTTGTTTTTATCTACCTGGATGATTGAGCTTACAAACCTTATTTCTGAGACATATTTTACTAATTTGTTTTACATTCATTCACATTAATTTACAACGGAGTATTATGGCCACGCTAAGAAAAAAACAGCAATTACATTACGTGAAAATAGGCATGAAGTTACAAGAACAGTCATAATATTACGAGAATAAAGTTGAAATAATATGAGAATAAAGTCGTAGCATTATGAGAATAATCAGAATCAGCTTTATTGTCATTGCACAGAAGCTCAACCGAATTTCATTTCAGTACAGCCCATCCTAAGAAGCACAAACAACTGAAGGCATGAGTAGACAGGGTGCCTGAGGCTGCAGCCCACATGAAAGGCACTGCCCTTTTCATTAGGCATAGAATAGAATAAACTCGTAATATTATCAGAATAAACTCGTAATATTATCAGAATAAACTCATAATATTATCAGAATAAACTCATAATATTATCAGAATAAACTCATAATATTATCAGAATAAACTCATAATATTATCAGAATAAACTCGTAATATTATCAGAAAAAACTCATAATATTATCAGAATAAACTCGTAATATTATCAGAACTCCAACACAAAAAAACAGTCTTACAATTGTAGTAAAATGATTAAGGTTGAGCATCTTGTTAACTTGTGTATATATAGGGGGCGGCTGTGGTTGAGTGGTTAGAGCAGTCGTCCTCCAGTGCGAGTTGGGGGTTCGATTCCACCAGCAGTCACATGCTGAAGTGTCCCTGTGCAAGACACTGAACCCCTCATAGCCTCTGATGTGTGTCCCATCAGTGTATGAATGTGATCTAAAAGCACTGATTAGTTTCATTAGAATAATTTGTTCAATTATCTTTGTAGAGATCTAGTATAGAGCTGTATGAATGGGTAAATGAGGCACAGATTGTTGTAAAGAGCTTTGAGTGTCTTGAAATAAGATAGAAAGGCGCTGTATAAGTACAGTTCATTTACCATTTACCATTTATCTTTGGTATTGGTTTTACAAATAAGGAAATACTTGATCTGTTAGCACATCAGCATCAGATTATTATCAGTATCAGGACTTTGAAACAATTGTGTAAATGACTGTCTGTTTCAAAGAAAGAGCCACACGGATTTGGAAGATATTGCTTCTTTTGAGGAAGAGGAGCTTTCTGGCAGTGGTAGACTGCAAGACTGTAAGTGGTTACATCTGCATGCCATTCAAAGAGGTTTTGTTGTTTCTCAACAGACAATGAGAATGGTCATCAAGATTTTGGATCCAGTGGGTGTTGAACTTTGGCGAGCACGGTGTCTCCGATGTCGGCAGTACAATAGCAGGGGGCCCAATGCACTGTGGCATATGGATTCTTATGATAAACTGAAGCCCTATGGCATTGTAATTGATGGCTGCCTTGGATTTAGTCGTCACATAATGTGGATGGAGGCATATTTCACAAACAGTGACCCCAAAGTGATTGCAGACTATTTCATAAACACAGCATTGGGGGCGGCTGTGGCTGAGTGGTTAGAGCAGTCGTCCTCCAATGCGAGAGTTGGGGGTTCGATTCCACCAACAGTCACATGTCGAATTGTCCCTAGGCAAAACACTGAACCCCTAAATGCCTCCGATGTGTGTCCCATCGGTGTATGAATGTGATAAAGCTCTTATTATTCTTTGTATAGATCTAGTATAGAGCTGTATGAATGGGTAAATGAGGCACAGATTGTTGTAAAGAGCTTTGAGTGTTTTTTAGAAAAGCGCTATATAAGTACAGTCCATTTCCATTTACAGCATTGGAGGCTGTCCACAACAGGTGCGAGACGACCCAGGAACGGAAAATGGACATGTCAAAGATATGTAATAATCATTTCTAATATTATGACTTTATTCTCATTATTTCAACTTTATCCTCATATGACTTTATTCTCTTAATACTACAACTTTATTCTCATACTACAACTTTATTCTCTTAATACTACAACTTTATTCTCATAATACTATGACTTTATTATCATCCTATGACTTTATTCTCATAATATTATGTTATTCTCATTATACTACAACTTTATTTTCTTAATGCTATGACTTATTCTCATAATGCTACGACTTTATTCTCATAATAGTTTGACTTTATTGTCGTAAAACTACAACTTTATTCTCATACTACAACTTTATTGTCTTAATACTACAACTTTATTCTCATAATGCTAGGATTTTATGGTCATAATACTACAACTTTATTCTCATAATATTATGACTTTATTGTCGTAATGTTACAACTTTTTTATCATAACACTACAACTTTATTCTCATAATACTACAACTTTATTCTCATATTACTACAGCTTTATTATCATACTATGACTTTATTTGCATAATACTACAACTTTATTCTCATAACATTATGACTTTATTGTTGTAATACTACAACTTTTTCTCATAATACTACAACTTTATTCTCATGATACTACAACTTTATTCTCATAATACTATGACTTTATTCTCATAATACTACAACTTTATTCTCATAATACTATGACTTTATTCTCATAGTACTATGACTTTATTATCATAATACTATGACTTGTCATAATACTACAACTTTATTCTCATAACATTATGACTTTATTGTCGTAATACTTCAACATTTTTCATAACACTACAACTTTATTCTCATACTACAACTTTATTCTCATAATACTACAAATTTATTATCATAATACTATGACTTTATTCTCATAGTACTACGACTTTATTCTCATAATACTACGACTTTGTTCTCATAATATTATGACTTTATTATTGTGCAACTTTATTCTCATAATACTATGACTTTATTCTCGTAATTTTATTGCTTTTTTCTCGTAATTTTTTTTAGCATGGCTGTAATACTCTGTTGTACTAATTAGCCGCAGTGTGAATGTAAGAAAAAGATTTCAAAGCAAATATAATTAATTTTAAAATAAATAAAAAAATAAGGAAGTACTTCAAACATATAGTGTTTGTCATCTGCCTGAGAAAACAAAGCCTCAAGTACAATACTTGAATTCAATTCAATTCAGTTTATTTATATAGCGCCAAATCACAAGAAAGTTGTCTCAGGACACTTTACAGGAACATTCACATAAAAGCCAATTAGTAAAGTTCTCTGGATCCTTAGATAGAGAACTTTACTAATTAATATAAATAAACTGAATTGAACTGAATTGAATTCAAGTATCTTTAGAGGGATTCTGAATTCACTGTGAACTGTTAAAACAAAAAGTGAATGAAGTGGGACTCCTGCGATGGCTGCTGCTGTATGTACTGTCTATGCCTCAAAGCGTTCACTCCCAATTTAGGCTACGTAACAATCCCCGGTGAACCTACGAATGTTCACGCATCAGAGATTTTCAAATCGTACGTGGTGCTGAGCTGGAAGCCTCCCAGCCCCCGCGGACAAGCACCGCTGTGGTACGTCATTGAAAAGGTGCGTCTTTACCTTTAATATCTACTTCCATCAGAAGAATTTTGTAAACTCTATGCTGCGATATAAAATCGAACCATGTAATAACTGGTTAAACACTATTTTCTCCAAACCATGTTGATGGTGAATATAAAGGAAAGAGCCAATAATGATGACAGAAAAATATCTTGGAGATGTTTTCTGGTTTAATTTACTCACAAATCTCCTCAAACTCTAGATTTAACTTTTTGAGATCCTCCTTAAGAATATAAAGAATATAAAAATAGATTATTTTCTCAGTTTGTGTTTGTTATTGTTCGCATTTTCATAGAGCGCTCTACTGTCTGTACACCCCCATCCCCAACTCTCCCGCAGTGCTTAGCAGGCACTGGAGCATGGCAGCGGATCAGCACAGCAATCAAACTGTGCTCCCCTCGTTACCCTGTTTTTGATTTGCAAGACGGGCAAAAGTACCAGTTCCGAGTCTATTCAGTCAACATGTATGGCTCCAGCGAGGCCTCGGCGCCCTCTGAGCCCGTCCAAAAGGTTGACGAATATGGTAAGAGTGTTCATCCAAATGTTTGATCAGCTTTGAGAGAACACAGGTGCAGACAGTCTTGATTAGTCTGGTTCTAATAAACGTCAGAAGAAGAATGTGAACAAAAGAAAACAGGAAAACCTGCAGATTCGAGAGTAAAGCATGACTTTTTAATTTGTTTTCCCTAAATGTGGTATCTCTTCTGTTTCAATCTGATTTTAGATCTTATCAGAAAAAGGTGACCCTTCTTACAGGGTGTTTGTGCTTATTTTATTTAATGTTCTCTATTTCAAACAAACACATGAAAAGCTCACACTTTGTTAAAAGTGACTTTATGTTGCAGGTACTGAGCTGTCGGTCGGTACGTACAGATCTATAATACTTGAAACACTTTGTAAAGACACTGATGTACTTTGCTGTAATGCCACGAATGAATTCAGTCTTTCACCGTCTGTAGTGTGTTCTGACTTGCAGGTTGAGGCCAGTATTTCACTGGGCTGCAGCTAGCAGGTGAACAGCTTTAAGAAACCATGTGCACAGCCTAGAATACACTTTTTAAAGTCATGGACACAAAAACACCCTGATTTTCAAAACTCACCAGTCTGGAAACAATCACAATCACTCAGATTTCACTGGGACTACAACTTGAACTCACCTTTTTTCTTGCAATTTTGAGTTGTCAACAAGAGTTGCTGCCATGTGAGATACTGGCCTTAGAGCACATGAACGTGAGGTGCTGACAATCACTTGATGGTTGCACATAATGAACAGTCACAGCTTGTGTTTTATTTAAAATAAATCACAAAAACACACTTTACAAACTTTAATGTCTTAAAAATGACTCTCCAACGAGCCAGTTATCTTGTTGCTTAGATCAGGATGTCTGATCCTGGCCCTCACTGTCCTGCATGGTTTTCTTTGCAACAACACTGCAGATCTGAACTAATAGGTGATTAATGGGTTTCTGCAGAACAGGAAGAGGTCATTAACCATTGAATCAGGTGTGTTGGAGCCAGTGGCGGCTGGTGGAGTTTTCTCGGGGTGGGGGGGAATAAATGTGTGGAGTGGAAATGTCCATTGTTTCATCTGCCTGGATGGAGACAAAGTCTGCACTTCTGATTTCTTCACTGATGCACTCTCTCAAAACTAGCAGCATATAATCAAGGAGTTCATTCTGCAGTCTTAGATGTTCCCTTAAACACAGTGGCAGTCTGCAGGTGCTCATCTAGAACTGCATCCAGTGATGCTACAAAATCCACCAATCCTCTAAAAACACCCAGATTTTCTGAGCTTTCACTTTCATCATGGCCATGCAGGGCAAGTTCAAATGCACCACAAAACTTGACACAGTCTATTATTTTTGATAGAATGTGCCTGTTTTTGTCAACCTCCTCATTGTGCATATGGATCCCTACCCTGTAGCCTCATCAAGCTGAGATGAAATGTTTATTTTCCCAAACATGGCTAGTCGCAGTGCCTTTGCCATGTGGATCCCAGATTGTTCATGCTCATTTGCCTTTTGTAAAAAAAATCTTTAAATCAGTCAGTCCTGTCTTAAGCCATGCTGGGTCTGATCTTGATGTTTGACAAAGGAGGCAAGGAAAGCAGAATAAAGCATTAGCCTCGCTACATGCAGTTAGCCGAGCCTTGTTGCTAAACCAGGTCCTGGATATAGACTGAGTGTACTGACTCCCTCTGTCTTTGGACTGCTGATTAATGTGAGGGTGATGATATGCAAATCAAGCCGCATTCAGCTCTGGGCGCAGGAGAGGTGTGCCTCAGAATAGTCCTATTTCTTGTGTTGAAGAGGAACTTCTGCGCATGTGCAACTTTTGACAAGAGTCTATGGGCAAAGATTTTTGCACCCCAGGGCAGAAATGCGTCACCAGACAATGTTGATGAACAAAACAACTTTACTCATCATTAACTATAAAATATTTATCTTGCACAACTAAAATAATATATAGATATATTTTGAAATATTTTTATTTTATTATTTCATTTTTATTTTTTAATGTCTAATTCAAGGTAATGTGGTGAGTGAGAGTGGTGGAAGGCACCCTTGTGCCCTCTATTGGCCAGCCGCCACTGGTTGGAGCAGAAAAACCTTTGGGACATGCAGCATAGTGGTCCTCAAGGACTAGGACTCATCAGAATATTTAACTCTTTACTGTTTTTAACTTGTCTTTAAGAGCTTGTGTTTTAATGTAATTTTAATTTTTATGAATCACTGTCTTCACCATAAATGGCATTTTGAAGCCATTATTTTGAAATAACAAATGAAAACTTGATTGGTCTCGTTGTTTTTTATTTGTATTTTATTTCTACAGGTGTCCCGTCAGCTCCTGGTCAGGTTGTAGCCACCAGAAACACCAAGTCATCTGTTTTTGTTCAATGGGAAGCTCCCAAACATCAGAAAAACCTCATGGGATATTACATTGATGGCCGCGCTGTTGGATCCAAAGAGTGGTTCGCTTGTAACCACAAACCCTTCAGACATAACCGGTGAGACAAATACTGGAATCTGACTGATGACATTTTAATGACCTAAAGAAAATTATACGGAGATGAAACATTCGTGTCAACTTAGGAGTGAGTCGAGCTTTTTCTTGGGTGTTTATAGGCCTTTGTTTGTTTGTTGGTTTGTTTGTTTGTTTGAATTGCACATATCAATAACGAGGCATTACTACTTTGTTTACCTAAAAGCTGTTGTTAAGGCAAGACGCACAAAACACAAGAGAATATAAAACACAGACAAACAAATTTCTATCTGAAACAGAAGTGAAACAAAGCACAACAATAATGAAAATGTTTCTGGATAATTGTGTTTAATTGATTTAGGCAGGCAGCAGGAAATGAAAAAGCCTAAATGTAGTAAATAAAACTGAGAGCTCAAGCAATCAGACTCTTAGTGCCTGTTTTGTTTCGCTTTACAAAAGCATTGGTTGTTTCTGGTGACTGGCTGACATGAGGTCAGCTTTGACGCCTTTGTTCATGTTTGGTGGTCAAATTTGGGCTCAAACGATTTGTGATCTGCTGTCGTTTACCTCGTGCACCGTTTTCAGTGAGTTGACATGTGCACAATTATTCAGACGACTGAACTGCATCGTTGTTTTGACATTGACATGGTTCAGAGTCACTTAAATCACATTTTGTTCAGTGTTTTCATGATGAGCTTTAAGTCAGCCTTGTCCTGATCCTGGTTCTGCTGGAGGTTTCTTCCTGTTAAAGGGAGTTTTTCTTCCCACTGTCTCCACTGTGCTTGCTCAGGATGGGAGACTGAGACGAAGCCAAGATTCATCTTGTCTGCTGGATTCCTCAGATAGAGAACTTTACTAACTGGCTTTTATGTGAATGTTCCTGTAAAGTCCCTGAGACAACTTGTTGTGAACTGGTGCTTTATAAATAAACTGAATTGAATTGAATAACTGTCAAAATGAAAAAAATGTTTTAAGACTTTTGATTTTTCTTTTTCTTCTAACTCAATTTCTAACTAATGTAATTATTGTTTTAGGCTTAAACTGTAAGGGCTACTCAAACTCCTCTGGGTTTTTGTAAAAAAAATTGCATTACAAAACAACAAATACGTATTGCTGTTACATTTGACGATCAGTTATGATCAATTAATAAAACTAGAGTTGAGAATGTCACCTTGTTAGAGTTAGACATCAACTCTAAGGATAACTAATCTTAGATATTCTCATCTCATTAGAAGTGAGATTATTTTAGCACAGCTCTTGTGCTTGAATGTTCTCCACTGCTCATCTAAAAAAGTTAAATCTGGTCCTCTGGACATTCAAAAAAAAACAAAAAAAAAGCAAAACAACAACAAAAATGTAGAAACGTTTCGTCTCTCATCCGAGAGACTTCCTCAGTCTGAGGTGCTGTATTCAGCTCAGTCTCTTAAATAGCACCTTCTCAGAGTGGATCAACCAGTTTGCTGCTGACAACCAGAACCAGCTGATCACATGCTCAAGAAGGACCATCAGCCTAACAATGGATCATTAGCACCTGATGGCTGTTTACTACTCACAGAGGGCTGAGTGATACTAGCAATCACAGCATTGTAAGAGGGGGACAGTTGAACCCGGAGGCTCCACCCCTGTTTAATGATGGACGGTTTCTTTTCACAAAGATGGCCTCCTTTACTCCTCTCTCAAACCATCGTTCCTCTCTGTCCAGGATGTGAACATCTTCATCCCTGAAAGAGTGACCTCTGGCCTGGAGATGAGTGTAGACCTCAGAGTCCTGGCCTGATGATGTTGATGTTGACTCTGAGACAAGTTAGCCTTGAACAAGTTGTTCAGAATCCTGAATATATTATAATGTTGATCAAATATGTGAACGCTCTGTCAGAGCGGTCCACTCAGTTAAACCACTGAAGGCAGATGTTTGTGCCAGGTCTGAACTTAGACTTGTTGTTTTCAAAAAGGATGTGTAGCTTTGTTTTCAGAGCAGCTTTTCTACATATTTCAGTTTGAAATTACGTTTTTCTGGACTCAGATTTTCAGGTTTTTCTCTGGATTTTTTGGTCAATTTTTAAAAAATAAATTGTTTGTCACATTACTGTTTGTAAGTTTGAGATTGAATCACATGACTGCATCTAACACCATATAAAACACAATATGTGCACAAGTAAAATAAAGAGGCTTAGTATGGTTTGGGGTGGGGGCACTGTGGTAGCTTGGCAGTCAGTGCTGCAGTCTTGTAATCCTGAGGGCGGGGGTTCAAGCCCAGGTTGCACCAGAAAGGACATCCGGCGTAAAACAAATGTCCAAATCTTTCATGTGAGTTCTCTTGCTGTGTTGACCCCTGAAGAAGGAGCAGCTGCAGGAAACTTGAGCGTATTTTAGAGCTGGGCTTAACCCCCCCCCCCCCCACTACAATAAATCTTTAATTGTGTAATATCTGGTTGATAGTCTGCAGATACTGAGCCATCTAACATGCAAAGTGCTGCTGTTGTCTTTAACTTTGGGTTCGCTGATTTGTCAAAAATCCTGTCAACACACAGAGAAGTTAAGAATTACAATCTTGTATCAGCATGAACAGATTTATCACTTAAGAAGCCCATAAAAGTGAATAAGATCAAACTTTATTGATCCCGCAGGAAGTTGTTGAATGAATGGCTCTTTTGCCTGTGTTCATGGCTTCTCAGTCAGTAACTTTAAGTCAACGATAGATTAAACATTGAGCTCAAGGTCTGATGTGGTGGGTGAACCAAAAAGAGACATTTTGAAGACGCTGTCCATCATTGTCCAATAAAATACTTTTTGTTTGAGCAATTTTTACAAATGCAGATTTTGTTTTCTAGAGAATGCAAAAGAGAATAGTCTCAAAGCATCAGTGGTTCCACGTGTAATTCTTTTACATACTTATCAAGACTTGAAACATACTAAAGTCATATGTTCGACTTTTTATACGTTTTAAGACTGTTTGACTTGTTACTTGCAAAGATGTTGCCGTGAATTAAAAAAATAATAAATCTTGTGTTAATTTGGATTGATCGCAGTGACATCAGTGTTTAGCTTGACAAGAAACTATGAATGTGCCTCAGGTTTGTGGTCCACGGCCTGATCCCAGGAGAGACCTATGTGTTCCGAGTCCAAGCGGTCAACGTGTTCGGCCTCAGTGAGGAGTCTCAGGAGTCTTCCCCCGTCGCTGTGGAGCCGGCCCTCGGTAAAAGGAAACACTGGTTTTTCATTACATGCACGTGTTTTGATCATTTTATTAAATATTGCTTCAAATGATGTACCAGGATAAAATCTGAAATAAACTCAAGACCTTTTTCAGAGAAACTAATCAACAGTATAAATTAAAAAGAAATGAAAAGGTGTCTCATGAGATTGAGGTTTATTTTATATTTATACTTTTTTCAAGCCTATGCTCAGTGAGTTTCATTTTATTCTGTCCAGGAAAGGGAAATGAATATGGTATGTATTACAAATACTACAATGTCCTACGATACTTACCCACTTTTCCCTTTTTGTTCATCTTTCCTTTTGCACAGAAGCACATATTTAGTTGCACCCTGAATCTTTCTGCTCTGCAAGATAAATTCCCTGTAAAGTAAAAGTGTGTGCTAAGGTAGTGCTAAACAGTAGTTCTATAGTTACACTGCATGGCAGGCACGTGTGCAGGTGATCATTGTGGTTTTTAGGTTATTTTTGAAGATGTTAACAAGTCTGGATAAAGATGTGTTAATGTTCAATTTGTGGTCATTTTAAATGTAAAGCTTTTTGAATTTTCCAGCAACTCCCAGTGCTCCTTACGGCATTACCATGCTGAGTAGTGATGGCTCGTCCATAACTGTGGCCTGGAAGAGCCCCAAACACTGCGGGGGCTCCAAGGTCAACGCCTACTACATCGACAAGCGTGATGCTGACACTCTGGTGTGGAAGGAAGTCAACCTGTCTGCGGTCACAGAGAGGATCTGCACTGTGAGCTCTCCGCTTTTTACACTCAAAAACAGAAAGGATTTCAGTAAGTCAATCGATATAACTTATAAACAGCCTCATTTTGTATTTTTAGGTGGACAACCTGAAAGAGGGAACATTTTACGAGTTCAGGATTCAGGCTGGTAATCTGGCTGGTGTTGGTCTACCGTCAGCTCCCAGTGCTCCAATGAAGTGTGAAGCTTGGACCATGGCAGAGCCAGGTACCGGATCAGTACTTCTACATCTTGCAGCACTGTTGGTGTTTTGTCTGCCAAAGGTGTACTACATCACCTTCAAGCTGAAGTGTGGAAGGTACTGAATGAAATGATCAAAAGCTTTGAGCTTAATTCAACACTTTCAAAAGAAACCAAATGAAACTTGCCATAAATTTTACACATACAGACCCTTTCCAAAAAATTAGAATATCTTGGAAAAGTTGTTTAACTTCCACAATTCAATTGAAAAAGTTAATCTTTAATAGATTATAGATTCAGGGCCCACAATTTAAACCATTTCAAGGATTTATTTATTTATTTTTACATAATTTGGGCTTCCAGCTCATGAAACCCACGAAAACATGATTTCAGAACATTAGAATACTGTGAAGACATCAGTCCACACTACTTCAGTTTTTGCAGAAAAAAAAAGTAATAAATTATGATCACAACAACTCAATCAAAATATGGTTCTTTCAAATCAATATGTCAATCTTCAATAGTTGGTTGTGAATCTCTTTGTCTTAATCTCTGCCGCGATGTGACGTGACATTGACTGGGAGTTATGGAAGCCCAGATTTCCTTGATGCTGTCAGATCTTCTTTGTTGTTGCTCTGGTGCTCCTCATGTTCCTCTTGAGAAGACCTCATAGATTCTCAATGGGGTTTAGGTCCGACCAGTTGGCTGGTCAGTCAGGCACTGTGGCATCAAACCAGGTGTTGGTGCTTCTGGCAGCATGGGCAGGGGCCAGGTCCTGCTGGAAGATGAACTCTGCATCTCCATACAGATCCTCAGCAGAAGGAATCATGAAGTCCTCTAAAATATTCTGGTAGACTGTTGAGGTGACCTTGGATTTAAGAAAGCAGAGTTTACCAACACCTGCACCAGACATTGCACCACAAATCATGACTGACTGTGGATATTTCATACTGGACCTCAACCAGTATGGGTTCTGTTCCTCACCCTTCTTCCTCCAAACCTTGGACCTTGATTTCCAAATGAAAGACACTTTACTTTCATCTGAAAAGAGGACCGAGGAACCCGACAGTTATGGTACATGGACTGTACTTATACAGTGCCTTTCTATGTTATTGAGACACTCAAAGCTCTTTACAACAATCTGTGCCTCATTTACCCATTCATACAGCTCTATACTAGATCTCTACAAAGCTAATTGAGCAAATCATTCTAAAGAGACTAATCAGAGTATCCTGATGCATGCTCAATAATCCAGGTAGAAAAATCTAAAAAAGTTAAATCTGGTCCTCTGGACATTCAAAAAAAAAAAAAAACAAAGCAAAACAACAAAAAAATGTAGAAACGTTTCGTCTCTCATCCGAGAGACTTCCTCAGTCTGAGGTGCTGTATTCAGCTCAGTCTCTTAAATAGCACCTTCTCAGAGTGGATCAACCAGTTTTGCTGCTGACAACCAAAACCAGCTGATCACATGCTCAAGAAGGACCATCAGCCTAACAATGGATCATTAGCACCTGATGGCTGTTTACTGTTCACAGAGAGCTGAGTGATACTAGCAATCACAGCATTGTAAGAGGGGGACAGTTGAACCTGGAGGCTCCACCCCCGTTTAATGATGGACGGTTTCTTTTCACAAAGATGGCCTCCTTTACTCCTCTCTCAAACCATTGTTCCTCTCTATCCAGGATGTGAACATCTTCATCCCTGAAAGAGTGACCTCTGACCTGGAGATGAGTGTAGACCGCAGAGTCCTGGTCTGATGATGTTGATCTTCTGTGCTGGTCCATCCTTTTGGCCAGTGGCTGTTTTGTTTCCCGATGTAAGACTGATCACAGCCCTCCTGACACTGAACAGCAAGTGTTGGACTGTACAGATCAGGCACGCTTAGCACAGCATGTCAAGTCCAAGACTCGACAACAAAATAAGTTTAACGTACTAATAGCTCATCAACACCATCACTATTCCAATAACAACACATTCAGTGTAGGACAACACTCCAGTAGTCAATTACATGTCAGGGAGACAGAAAAGTGGGTGAAGAATTTATCTGACAGACAGCTCACCCAGCCGGAGACAGAGATTCTTGCCAGGGGACTGAACTTTGCGGTTGCACCAAGTAGAATTCCTCTGGTGGAGATGATCACAGCCACGGAATCAGCCATCCGCAACAACAAAATTAAAGAGGCTGAAGCAGAACAGCTCAGAATCAAAGTTTCATCCTGCCTCAGCAATGCCAAACCACCACCTTCCAACATCAGTAGAGAGGAGAGGGATGCACTCACCATTCTTAGCAAGGACAAAAACATCATCATTCTCCCAGCAGACAAAGGAAGGTGCACAGTGATTTTGAACCAGAAAGACTATCATGAGAAAGTTATGACACTCCTTAGTGACGTAAACACTTATGAACCTCTGAAAAGAGATCCAGGAAGTGGTCACAAGAAGAAATTGATAGATTGCCTGACAATTTTGGAGCAGTACAAGGCTATTGACCATATTCTGTACCACAGACTGTACCCAGGGGAGGCCACACCTAGTCTGTATGGTTTACCTAAAATCCACAAACAAGGTGTACCTTTAAGACCTATTGTTAGCATGATTAACTCTGTCACTTACAATGTTTCCAAATATCTGGCGTCTGTACTCATCCCTTTAGTTGGCAGCTCAGAACACCACATACAGAACACCATGGACTTTGTGGATAAGGTGAGGGATGTCATCATGGAGACTGATGAAACAATGGTCTCTTTTGATGTCACATCACTCTTTACGTGCATTCCTGTTGATGATGCAGTAGAGGTGGTCAGTTTAAAATTAAAATCAGACACCACTCTGAGCAGCTGGACCACACTTTCCACAGAACAACTGTGTCAACTCTTGAAACTGTGCCTGCAGTCAACCTACTTCACATATGGGGAGCAATATTATAGGCAGAAACATGGGTGTGCTATGGGGTCTCCAGTTTCTCCTATTGTTGCCAACCTGTACATGGAGGAGGTAGAAAAGAGAGCCTTGACGTCCTTTTCAG